GCATTTTCTTTTTGTTCTCCACATGACTATGTGCAACTGTTCTTCCAGGGAAAGTTGATAGATGGGAAAGAAATAGCGGTTAAACGCCTTTCTAGTAGCTCCGGTCAGGGTACACGGGAGTTCATGAATGAAATAACACTAATCTCAAAACTACAACATAGAAACTTGGTACGTCTTTTGGGATGCTGCATCGAAAGAGAAGAGAAGCTATTGATTTATGAGTTTATGGTGAACAAAAGCCTTGACATTTTCCTCTTTGGTAAGTTCTATATTCCATTTGACCTCTTCGTTTTTCCATCGTTTGAGAGTTATCAATGTGTCACTGTCACTACTATCACTAATCTGGTCTATCTTTTTGTCTAGATTCAACTCTAAAGTTCGAGATTGATTGGCCAAAGAGGTTTAACATCATTCAAGGTATTGCCCGTGGACTTCTATATCTCCACCGTGACTCACGCCTTAGGGTCATTCACCGAGACCTGAAGGTTAGCAATATTCTTCTGGATGAGAAGATGAATCCAAAAATATCAGATTTTGGATTGGCTCGGATGTTTCAGGGAACCCAATTTCAGGACAACACTCGTCGGGTTGTTGGAACTCTGTAAGAACCGTTCTTTGAAAACATGCTTAACAAAAGATTCATANTTCATCATCCCATATTAACTTGATGCAAACTATTTGAATCGTGGACAGAGGATATATGTCTCCCGAGTATGCATGGGCAGGATTGTTCTCTGAGAAGTCCGACATCTATAGCTTCGGTGTTCTGATGTTGGAAATCATCAGCGGCAAGAGGATTTCAAGATTCAGCTATGACAATGAGAGCAAAGGCCTTCTTGCATACGTAAGTGGACACATTTACTAAAAATGTTTTGAAACACTTCCATTTCGAAACATCTTGAAACACTTCTTGTTTCTTATGTCCAGGCATGGGAATCTTGGTGCGGGGGATCGGATCTTCTTGATAGAGATCTTACGGATTATTCATGCAACACATTTGAAGTTGCGAGATGTGTTCAGATTAGTCTTCTCTGTGTTCAACACGAAGCTGTTGATAGACCCAACACACTTGAGTTACTGTCAATGCTCACGACAACAACAGATCTTCCCACACCGAAGCAGCCAATATATGCAGTGCAAACTCTAGACAATGTGTCAATGTCACACTTAACACAATCTGTCATTCAAGGAAGATAAGCATATACTTGTAGATTTTGTATGTTCCTCGTTCCTGAATAGTTTAATCCGTGAACCCCAAAGAATTCTCTGAAACCCAATGCTTGTTTTATTAGATTTCACCGATTGCATTCTGATTTTAGTGACACAAAACCCAAAAACCAACCCATATTTGTTCTAG